CCGGCCACTGGGGTTTCGGCAGCGCTTCCCAGCCATCAGTGTGCCGGGACCCTTCTGTGCTGCCACTGGCTTGGGCAGCCGTGTGTCACCCAGGGCCACCCCGCCATGCTTCACCGCCCGCTCCCTCTCCACCCCTGCCAGGCTTAGGGAGGTGCCATAGGTGGTCACTGTGGCCGCTGCCGCCGTGGCCACTGGTTTGCAAGCAAACTTCTTCAGGTTGGGCGAGGTGATCTTCTGGACAATGGCTTCCAGCTTGAGGCCACGGCCTTTGCGAGGAGGCAGCACTTTGGTCTTGGTGGCCTCCTGGAAGGCTGCCCGGGAGGTGATCTTGATGCAGACATCAGGGGCTTCCTTCGGTGGAGGGTGCTTTGGGATGGCTTCACCAGAGCTCTTGGGGGGCAGCTTGGCTTTCACCTTCTTGGCCACAGGCATCTTCTTGAAGAGGCTGGGGGGACCCTCTGGCTTTTCCTCCTTCATGCCACCATTGTTGCTCCGCAAGACCAGGTTCCTTTTCTTGGCGGGGATGGGGGAGATGAAGGTGGACTTCCTCTTCAGAGAGTGCAGGGGCCTCTCAGACATCTTGCCCCCCACCCCTGGCCCTGCTTTGGGGAGCTTCATCCTGGCGTTCACCTTCCCCTCTTTGTGGGGGCTGCCTGGGGCTGCCAACTTGAAGGCAGGCGGCAGGTGGTTGTTGATGAGCTTCTTGGGCACTTTGCAGTTCTTCAGCCGGACGTCAGCAGCCCGCTTGCCCCGCCGCCTCTTGGTGTAGAAAACCTCCTGCGTCTTCGTCCGGGAGCGCAGGATCATTGACCGCTGGTCCCTCTCCCCCACCTCTACTGTGTCCCCCTCCGGTGGTGTCGGTCCCGCTGCCTCCTCCACTGTCACCAAGCTGGGCACCAGGAGGGTGGCATCACCAGGGTTTTGGACCACCTTGGGGACTGGTCGGCCGCTGCGCTTCCTGGCTTTGAAAGCCACCCGCTGCTTGACGCCACAGGCCGGCTTCTTCCCCAGCTTCTCCTGGTGCGCGGGGACCTTCAGCGCCTCCAGCGGTGCCGGAGCACGGGGCTCAGTGAGGGCAGTGAAGGAGCGGGTGCACATGCGCGCTGGCAGACCCTCGGCTGGAAACCGGGGTGTTTGGCTCTGGGCGCTCTTGCTAGGCACCTCTGCCTGGCCGTCTGGTGTGTTTTCAGAGGTGAGCAGCTGCTTCACTGTGACTGGCGGGGTGGATTCAGCATTGGCTGCCTCTGGGTGGGACACCTCCCCTCTGCTGCTCTCCTCCTCGGGCTGGATGTGAGGCAGGGAGGACTTGAACCAGCTCTTCACCTTGGTCTCTGTGCCCACGGCAGGGCCCAGCAGGATGACAGACTGGCCGGAGAGGCGGGCA